GATGGATATGTACGCTCTCTCTATTCTCGGAAGAGAGAATCACTCTAACGAAGTCCATCGATTTGCGCAACCGATTTCGAGGATCCGAAACCTCTCTTCTCCGTCGGTTGCAGACGCGAGCGGGATAATCGAGGGGGCGTAAAAACCAGGCGAGAAGAGGAAGAAGAGAGCAGTGTGCAAGGGAGTGCCGGAGAGGAGAAAAAGGAGGAAGATTCGCAGGGAGCATGAAGGAAGACGTTATAGAACGAGTAGTGGAAAAAAAAGAGAGTTGAGAGAGAGTGCACGTTAATTAAAAGTGCTGCAAAGGAAGTCGCCAACTAAGAAGGGCGAGGCTGAATGAAAACAGCTGCTGCTCGATGACGACACGGTCTAAGAGCGCGCTCCGCCTAGACTGACAAGAGCGAGCCTCGGTCGACGCGCTTAGCGCCGCTATTTTCGCGCATAAATATAAACCGACGCCTACACCAGACACGACGACCTGTCTCTCTTTCTGTATCTCTCGATTTCTCGGCTTTTTCGATGAAAACCGCCGGAAAGATCGAGGTTAACCGGTCTCGAGCGTTTTCGAATTCTACCCGAGGCTGTTCTATATTCCACGCTTATAAACAGGGGTGTTGATAGTACGTTCGGTGGGATCTCGAGGTGGAGAATAAACGATGTCAGAGCGAGTTTCTGGTTACGCGAGCAACCGGGGGAAAGGAACGTGACTGGGGACACCTACTACGATTGGGAAAAGTGAAAGAGAGCGGTGATCGATATTCGGTGAATATGAGATATCTCCCGAGTGTTCGATTCACACTCAGCTGTTATTCAACATCTCTCTCGCTCGCGCACCTTCTTCGAAACTGTAAAATTGCGAAAACTAGGGAGTAGAACGAGGATTCGCACGGAACAAACCGGAAATATCTCCCCTGTATCTCGGAAACTATTCAACGACTTTTCCTTCTGCGACGCAAACACGATCCTTCCGCCAAATTTTTCTCTGTCTCTCCCTGTCTCTCTCTCTCGAATTTCTAATTCGATCCACGATAAATTCAACAATAGCCCCAAGTCCAAGGTTCAGCCCGAGGAGACTCGTACAAATCACGATGGCCATCTAGAAGCAGCGGGCAAATGGGCTCTCCTCGTCGTTGCAGCGAATAGAATCTGTACAGAGAGTGAACGTATGTGGGAATTTCAGAGGCTGCCAGCTCGTTCAATTAATTCCAGCCGCAATTTCGTTGATTCGAATTCAGAGGCAGGGTGGAACACGAGGTGGAGAAGCTTTTTGAAAAAGCGGAAGAGCACTTGTTCCACCGGCGAAGCGTTCCTCCGTCGCTTTAGAAACGCCGGAATTAACGACGTCTCGCCGACGAGAAGAGAGCGAGAGAGGAGCGTCGAAAAGGAAATGCCTCCCTTTCGACGGGTGTTCTATTACCAAAGAACAGTGCAGCGCCACACAACACGTGGTGTGTAACGCACACGCAATTCTGGCCGTGCTGCCTGGCTCTCTGGGTGTGTATTTCGAGACGAGCCTGCTTCTGTCTCTCTGGCCTTCCATCCGTGGTCTTCGTGAAGCACGCACATGCATCGACCATGAGGCAGGAAAGTGGCAGTAACGGTACACCGTTGCCTCCGCACGCTGGGGTAGAGTGACATTTTTGGCTGGATGGTTGGGTTTGTTGGGCGAGAAAAAACCAGGTGAATTATGGGGAAATTGGAGTTCACTGGGGAACCTGACACAGGATTCGAACCTACTTAACACGCTAGCCAGAGAAATTCGCCAACACTTCATTTTTTTTTTTTTTTTTTTTAAATGTTGTGGTGACCCATCTATTCAATCTTTTCGGTGCCCCGCGGATAGGTCACACAGTTCTGGAAGTATCAACCCTTTGCGCTCAAGAGACATTGTTGTTTACTATTTAGTAAATAACGAATCGAAGCTCGATAATTAATCTATGCCCCCCCCCCCCCAAATGTCTAAGCACTGAGATATTATAGTTTGGTAAATCCAACTTTTAATGCAACGTTACAAGATCTTGTGCAATATGAAAATACGTTAAATATTAAAAAAAATTTCATCGATGCTAAATATCAATTTTGAATGCAATAAACATTATAGCAAGTATCAAGCTCTGCTGCTTTCCTACAGCAAACAGATCTTCGAGGCACAAAGCTAGATCCTTGAAAAATTCTGGGAAAAAATATTCCTCAACACGTGTCGAGTGTCGTCCGACGAGAAACAGGTGCCCGCAGGTGGGGCCGCGGACAGGAAAGATCGTAAAAAGGAAGGAAGAGACCCTCAAGGAAAAAGAAGATAGGAGAAACGCAACGAAAATGTCAAGCTGCTGCTTTGCACAAAATTTCCAAAACGATCCGACAATTGCAGACGCACATTTGAGGAGAAAAGAAAACGAACCGACTATACAACTTGGTCGTTTCTGCCAGTCGAAGCTTCTTCTTCGAGGAAATGGATCTGTTGGCTGGCCGCGCTATGCCAGTCACGCCTGTACTTCGAACACCATTGTCCTGTCCGACGGACTCGCCGAATATTACCGTTCTTGCGCGAGTATTATCATATTCAGGAAGTCCTCTGACTGAATACGAAGTGGCTCTACCGTTCGATATCGAGAGTTCCGCGAATTTTCCCCTCGCGCCAAGCGTGAGCGACTAGTCACGACGACGCGACCGGTAGAACTGTCTTTGTTCAATTTTAAATTGTCCCTTTTATTCCACTTCCCAACAGTAACCACCGTTTTATTGTTCGAGTTATATTTTTTGTGAATTTTTACGACGTTTCCAGGTAACAGATATCTCTTCCCCTACGAAAAAGTCACCCCTCACGAAAATTTATCACACACACGCTGTATAACGAATCGTCGATCTCTCTTTGTTAGACGAATCTACTGAAAAATCTACCCTAGCCATGACAAAAACGTTCCCCACCGTTAAATATCCACGTTCTCTATTCCTAGATTTCGAAACTGCATCTAGGCAAGTTCGCAGGAAAGTCGACGTGATGTTTGTCGAGAAAACGCACGGCGTTTTCGTATCTACATCGTAAATATTTTCCCTGCGCTCTAGCCAATCCAAGTATCTGGGTCGTTAACTGGCTCCTCCTACTACAGTCTAATATTTTACGCGGCTGCTGCCACCTACGCCCCCTAAAAACTCACGTTTTCTTTTCTCTCACTTTAGAGGTTAGGATCGTAAACGTTTTTATCCCACGAAAATTCTAAACGACAAGTTTCTTCTCCCCCTATCGTAAAGTTTCAATTATTACAACTTCCGTTACGTCGTTCGAACGACGAAAATTACGCGCCAATCGTAACAGGCCTACCAACCGTACCGATCGTTCATCTCCGCCGGACGACACTGCACGATTCAAACGTTACAACTCTCGCGCGAACACGCGAGATCTAAGTGTGTTATTCCACGGCCGATCCTCCTCCCTCCTCCGTGCACATGGTCCTGACGTTTATCGGCCGCGCCGTGAACTCGCCGAGTGTTGTGTCGTTAAACAACGAGCAGCTGTTTCGCGAGCCAGAGCCGCTTAACGGCCACCGCCGTTCCGCGAGAATCCCAACGGCGAAAGCCTCTCCTCCTCTCTCGATGTCTCTGCTGTCGAGACGAACGTCGTTTGTACAACGTCGACGTTGTCCGCAGGAGCGAAACCTCTTTTACGTCGTCCTTCGACAACGCGACATTGTCGGTATTGATCGGACAGACAGCGTTACGCAACGAGAGCCGCGGAGAATTAAAGGGAATAATGAATGAGAGAAAGGAGAGTCGAGCCACAGACACGATCGACAGGAGTAATCAGTCGTATCGAACGTATCTCGCGTATCGAGTTACGCTACGACGAGACGAGGGACACCGCATTACGCGTGAATTCAACGACTTCCTGGAGCGTTTTGCGCTCGCCCCGCTTTTTGCACAGTTTTCCACACTATCGATCCGACTCTCTTATCCGATGTTCGCGTTTTTTACCTCTCCTTTTTCCACGATTTTTTATCAGATTGAATAATTCCGGTCTAACCTTTGATTGTAACCTTGCCACGGATACGTTGTACCACATGACGATGGTTGGAACAGATCACGATAGAAGACTCGAGGAGAACACTCTTGAGAGAATCGTATCCTAACCTTCGAAACGTGGGAATGTGCGTCTCGAACGTTGAGTATTCGATGCTCGGCGGGTAGAGAGAATATTTGAATCAAGATGGTAGATCTTATAAAGCGTCGTTCTGGTAGAACAAGGATTCCGTGAACCAACGACGTACTCGTAAAATTCAAACGTAGTCGCGTTTCAACGGAGCGATTACCGCGAACCGCGCTTCCGCGGAGCCCTTTCACGGTGCGATGAATTCACGGTAACAGAGACGAGGCTCAATTCCCACGGGCTAGCCGCGCATCGCGTGTATGTCATAAGCGACGGAACGTGTAGGACGCACGATCTTTTATTTTGCACTCGCGTATCGGCTTATCGGGTCGGTCGACTTCTATATACAACGCGGCGAGACGGCTGGGCAAACAACACTGACCTCGAGACACAAGCACGAGTGACGTCGAGCTTTGAGTTTTTCTCCAGTGACGAGGGACGACGACGACGACGACGACGACGACGACGCTTCGATATACGCACATTCTGTGCACGCATCACGCATCCGCGTCTCCGGAAACAGCACAAGAGAATCCCATCGAAACTGTTACAAGGTGGAACTCCAGATAGAAAATTCACTCCGAACGATCGTAACACTGCACGATTATCCGTTTCAGGGATTATAGAACACTGGTTAGAAACGAGACAACTGAACGGCGTATCCCTCGATGTATCGAATTGTTCGTACTTATACATGTCCAGTCTTGCTACGCCACACTTCAGAGCAGAGAGACTAGAATCGAGAAACGATCGGTTTCGAGATTCCTCGATTCGATAGGGACGCGGCGTGAAATGGTTTTCGTACGGAAAAAAGAAGGGCTACAGACAGAGCTTGTGAGTCGGGTGGGGGGAGACTTACGTGATGCGAGCCTTCAGCGCCCAATCCATATCTCGTGCTCGGGGAGCTTCACGATGCCCCTCGTGTTTGCCTTCGTGATGTTTTTATCCCTGGTGTAATCAAAATATTGCACACTCCCCGCACGCACAACAGCACACAGCGTTACTATCTTTCTTCTTGGTCGTGTTTCACCACTGGTCCGACCCGCTGCGCGACGAGCGGCTTGCGCGCGCATGAAACATATAACCACACCACTCGGGGATCTTGTCCGTGTACGAAACGAGGAAAGGAAATAAAAAAAGAAGGGGAGAAAGGGGGGAGGGGGGAGAAGGGAAGAAAGAGGCGAGGCGAACGAAAAACCACGCCGAATCGACGCACCAAGGGTAAACGAGCTCACAGTTCTACGACACACACTAGGCGACGATCCAACGAAGACTGAGCCCGTGGATTCGAAGCGACTGCGACGCGCATGGAGCGCCGCCCAGTGGTGGGGGGGAGAAAAAGGCGGTGGGTACAGTCGCGTACCGACCGCGTAGAGCGCCCCGAGACCAATGATGTACCTACCGCCCAGTGGCGTAGCACCCCAAATACCAACCTCCCCCTTTACGAATACAAATATACCGGAGGTGACATTTTCAACTATATCGATAATCACAATCAACACACTGTATCCTCGTATATCACAGTACAATCGTAATAAAATCTTTTCAAAATATTTCTCTAGAAACTTTTCGTGCAACCATCGATAAACTATCGATCCTATAATCGCATTATTTTCCACGTTACTCCGGCACATTTTCACCGTTTCATTTCCGGGCTTTCCTAACTTTCTCGTACAAGTTTGCCAGCTCACGTGCGCTTAGTACAGGGCGGAGCACGTAAATCCGGTGGATTTGGTAGCAACGCTTCAATATCGTGCTCGGTTCCCTACGCCAGTGCCTAAGCCTACCCAGTGCTGAAACGTTTACCCGGGGGGGGACTGTACTGTGCATAGGGAAGGAGGAGAGACAGAGCGAGAGAACGTAGCACCCATCAGGGTGGGAGAGCGAGAGAGAAAGGGAGCGACCAACAGTCGAAGGGATACGAGGGTTCTCCCTCGTGCAATGGGGTTTCGCGGACCGCTCTCTGAACCCAGCCGGTCGAACGTCGAATTAACCCTGGAAAAATGTGTACGTGCCCGCGCACTATCGATGCAGGCACAGGGGAAGCATCGCGAACTGTCGGGGCACAATTTGCCCTATCGTTTTATTTCACAAAATTACCGATGGATTTTCCTTTATACATGTATATCCTGATGCAAAGCGCAGCGCAGTCACGAGAGAGAGAGAGAGAGAGGGAGGCGAGGCGAACGATGGCCTTTTTTAATAAGGTAAACAGGAAAGACAGATTGCGTTAGCCTGCTGAGTGCGTACACCGGCGTATTTTGCAAATTACGCAAACGGTGCGTACACTGCAACGCAACAAACACTCGGTGTCGTATTTTATCAGACAGGCGTATATACACGAC